GGGGGGCTAAAGGGAGCCCCGTTCTAAAAAAAAAAAAAAAAAATATTTCAATAAAAAAAAACCTATGGAACATCCTAAATGTCCACTAACAGGAAAGATTCATGTATTCATATAATGGAATATGACAGCAATAACAAAGAACAAAAGCTAATGATAAAACAGACAGATAATTCTCATAGACACTTCATTGTGTGCAAGAAATCAGACACATCACAACACATACCCCATGACCCCATTTATATAATATGCAAATGCAGGTGAAAATTTATAGTGATAAAAGGAAAAATAAAAGGAAGATATTAACTGGAAAGGGTTGTGAAGGAGAAGCCTGCTGTGTGCTGGGAATGTTCTATGTCTTGATCTGGGGTGGGTGCATGGCTGCATATAGGTATAAAAACTCAGTAAGCCTGTGGTTAAGATTTATACATTTGGGGCTGGAAAGATGACTAAGGGGTTAAGATCACTGGCTGCTCTTGCAGAGGACTTGGGTTCAGTTCCATGTACCCAAATGGCAATTAACCATCTTAACTCCAGTTTCAGAGGATCTGACACCCTCTTCTGGCTTCCAAAGGCATTGCACACATGTGGTGTGTGTATATCCACCCAGGCAAAACACTCATACACATAAAATTTAAAAAATAATAAAAAGGGGGACTACAGGAGGATGCCATTGGGGAAGGGGGCATAAAGATGATTAAGATGTGCTATATGAAATACACAAAAATTCAATAAAAATTTTACAAAAAAATAAAAAAGTAGAAAAGAAAGATTTATGCATTTTACTATATACTAGTTATATACCAATAAAAAAATAGTCAAAAAAATCCTATAGGACGCAATTAAAATTATGGGAGGGATAAACAGCCTCAAATCTTTTTACAAGAGCAGCCAGTTCCAAAGTCTGAACGCTAGGCAAGCATACAACATGAAGCAGAAAGGCCAAAAGAACAAATTTACAGTCGTTGAAGAAACTAAGAACAGGAATTCATGAAGCCACTCCCACACTTCTGCACCTCCCCTGAGAAAGTGCTGGACCTAGAAACCACCTCTTCCTTCTGCACACCCGTCTGATGTCCTCTGTTGCCACCCCAAATTTCATCCCAATCTCCAGCTCCTCTCCCTAGCTCCTCACTGTGGCTGTAGAAGGTGGAGAACCGGTCAAGGGCATCACAGAATTCTGTGGGAAGGCACTTTCTGGGATGGTGCAGGTAGCAGGCTGGGGAGACCGGCCAGCAGCGTGGTGACAGGACCAGTACAGAAACTGTTGGCTCTTCTATGAATAGTTCTTCCTCAGCCTCCTGTCCCTTGTCTTCTTCCTAAGGAACAGAAAGATTGCAAGGGCCCATGAGCTCCTTCTGGAGTCTGGTCTTCTCTTGCTCTCCGTTCTTTTTCCAATGCTCTTACCTCTTCCTCCAGCCCCTGTTCCTCATCCTCCTGCTCTAAGAATAGCCTGTCAAGCTGCTGGAGCTGGAAGAGGTGGAACTGGTGCTGCAGCTCCTCCGAGGCACTCAGGCTCTGCAGCATCAGCTGGGGGAGGCGATTGGGGAAGCAGAGGCCAATCTGCTCCAGCACAGCCCCCTCCAGCCAGCTTGAGCCCAAGCTCAGGAGACGGTCGGCCATGTAGTGCCTGCAACAGACAGACAGGGCCAGGTCTCAGTGTGTGTGCTGGCATAGCCCAGGCCCAGCCTTACCCTCCAGAGGCTAAGTCTCTGTGTTGTAGCTTGTCTGAGTCATAGGACCCACTTCATCTCTTCCCACTCCTTTTCCACCAGTGTACGGCCATCTCCACATCTTAACTTTCCCCACTACCTTCTCCCTTACCTCCTAAGACAAATCTTTCCCTTCCTTGGCCTCTAGGCCTCCCGTCCCTACCTCTACAGAGCAGGACTCACTGATAGAAGTGTTCAAAAGTAGTGGCCAGCTCCAGGCCAGAAAGGACCATGATGGGCTCCAGGTGCTGCTGAAGCCGCCCCAGCATTTCCAGTCCAGGGGCTCCACCAAGCAGGCCACCCTGGATTTGCTGGTCAATGTACCTAGCAAACTGCTCACTCACCTGGGGACAATGGAAACGGCATCGGACAGCCCATGAGCGAGGAAAAGTGTCTGAGATGGAGTGGGGAGGAAAGGGCAGGGCAGAAGAAAAACATGGGACAGGAGCTGACAGAGGCCTGGTAGGTGGCAGGACTTACATGGGCAGCCGTGAGGAAGGATTGCTGCAGCAGGGCTCCAGAGAAGCCACTGCGCAGAGCCAGAGTGAAGGCTGCCCGAGGCCCAAACAGCTCTGAGCCCGCTCTTTGCAAACGTTCGTAGAGCTTACAATAATGAAGCATGAAGTCTGGGGCCCTCCAGGCTGCAGCCAGGAATCTACTGACCTGAGGTGAAACAGCAAGAAATGACATAAAGGCAGGCCACCCTCCAACGTCCCATCCCGTCTGCCTTCAGCTTGCCTCAGCCCACCTGCTCCTGTACCACACTCAGCCAGCACTGGGTGATGTTCCTCAGGCTGCTGCTCAGCAGGACTGGTGACAGCACCAGGCTTTGATCCCGACTCTTACTATTCTTGCTGGCTGTGGAAACAGGGCAAAGGAGGAGCTCTACTTCATCCCTGAGTGAGTCCAGGGGTCTTGGGTGCTTATCTCGTGGAAAGGTCAAAAGGCCCCAGTGGCCTAGAAAGACAGAGAGGAAGGAGCCAGATAACCCCACAGCACAGATTCTCAGCTCAACAGGCCACACAGACTCACAGGGCCGGGTGGAGGGCTCAGCCGAAGGCCCAGGAGGGGGCTCTACATGCACCAGCAAGTGGCAAAGACGGCGAACTCGAGAAGTAAAGGATGCTGCCTGACTCTGAGGGACCCGAGAGCTCTCCCTCTGCTCTAAGTACTGGTCTAGCAGCCATCCCAGGGAGCTCACACCTTCCGCATCTGAAAGACAGGTCAGGAGCAGGTGTCTGTGGGAAATGGGGACAGATAGCTGGGGGGGCGGGGGATACAACTGTACAAAAAGGCTTGGAGGCAGCAGAGCCCTAGTCCTCCCTCACCAAGGTTGGCTTCAGCTGGAGCCTGGGGACATGGTAACAGGGCAGGGGTGGCGTGGAGGGGAAGTTTCAAATACAGGAGTCTCAGGGAGCAGTCCCTGGGGTGGGAAGGAGAGAGGAACACTGAGGTGACTGGTCTTCAGGGGCAAATACAGGAACCAAGAGAACTGTGAGTTAATCTCAGGTGATCCCCAAGAGTTACTGTAGGGCTGGTGCATGAGCCAGGTGTGGGAGTGGTTACCGGGAGAGGTGATGTTCTGCACCAGGGGGCTGACCAGCGCCTCCCAGCAGGTCTTGCCCAGTGCTTGGGCAGCCTCGTCATCAGGGAGGAAGCGATCAGCAAAATTCTGTTCATGACGCAAAACTCTGTTCAGTCTGGGAACACACAGTGTGAGGCCATATTAAAGACAGATTTCCCTAGGCCTCTGCTCAAGTGCAGATCAACTCCTGATGAGCCCACTCCTGTTCCTTTCCCTGTGTTCAACTTCTCCTGCAGTTTCACCTCTCAGGTTCCCACTGAAGCATGTCCCCTGCCCCCTGCTTCTTACAGTAGAGTAGATGGTTGCATCTCTCCTGCCCCCTACTTTTTTTTTTCTTTTTTTTTTTTGGTCTTTTTAAGACAGGGTCTCTCTGTAGCCCCAACTGGCCTGGAACTCACTATGTAGACCAGGCTGGCCTTGAACTCACAGAGATCTGCCTGCCCCTGCCTCCCAAGTGCTGGGATTAAAGGCAAGCGCCATCATGCCCAGCCTACTTCCTACAGTGGCATGCCCACCTGGGACAGAGCTGCAGGAGGCGCCGGCGGTCCTCTGCTATGTCCCGGCTCCAAGCTTGTGCCCGAATTGTGTAGAAGAGACAAGTACGGCGACAGAGCTGTTCCCGGAACAATGGCCAAAAAGTGGGCTTTGGGCCCAGGACCTCCACACCCCGAACCCGAGTGTCGATGCCACCCTGCAACACACACAGCTACTATGTACTACAAAGCCAGGCTTCGAGCCCTGAATTCCCTAGAGGTGCTTGGATAGCCCCACATCTCTGGAATTCAACAGGTTTCCAGGTCGTCTCCCATGCTAACCAGGGAGGAGCCTGGCTAAAGCCCGGGCCTCCAACTGTTGGAGAGGCCAGAGCTCTAGAGACCCTGAGCTATGTCCCAGTGTTTAGTCCCTGGCCTCTTCCTGGCCCCACCTGCTGGCAGCGCTTTATGCGAATCTGGATGATGGGCCAGAAGCGGTTCAGATTCTCCAGGAGGGTCACCCGGCTGGCAGAGGGCATCACATTTACCTGACAGGGCAGGAGAGAAAAAACTGTCACATTTAGAAGTGGAGATAGGGCTGAAAAGACAGCTCAGTGGTTAAGAGCATGTACTGCTCCTGCAGAGGACCCAAGTTTGGTTCCCAGCAACCATGTTGGGCAGCTCACAAATGCTTATAACTCCAGCTTAAGGGATCTGACACCCTCTTCCTGGTCCCATGGTTACCTGCATGCACACGTGCACAGACACACACATACACATACACATAATTAAAAATATGAGCCAGGCTTGGTGGTGCACGCCTTTAGTCCCAGCACTCAGGAGGCAGAGGCAGGCGGATCTCCATGAGATTGAGGCCAGCCTAGTCTACACAGTGAGTTCCAGGCCAGCTGGGGCTATAAGGAGACCCTGTCTCAAAAAGACAAAAATAAAATAAAGCCAGACATGGTAGTGTACATTTTCAATCCCAGCACTAGCAAGGCAGAGGCAGGTAGATTTCTGGTCTATATAGCGAGTTCAAGGCCAGCTAGGACTACATAGTGAGACCCTGTTTCAGAAAAACAAAACAAAATAAACAAAAAAACCAAACCCCCAAAATAAAATAAGTAAAATAAAATAAAAAGAAGTGGAGTCATAAGGACTGTTGTAGCAATTCAAACAAGTCTGGCCCATGCCCTTTACCTCTGCACTGAGCCCTGTGACCCATGTGGCTCCATCTTTCTAATTCCACTCACTGCTAGTGAGAGGAGGCCTTCCCAGAAGTTAACAGAGAGCCGTTCCCCAGGGACTGGGTCTTCCCAACAGGCTTGTAAGACATGGAGGAATGGGGAGCACAGTGAAGGGGTGGCACAAGGGACCCACCGTGTTAAGCTCGGTGCTGATGCAGTTGGTACTGTCACCCCCAAACACCACCACCCTGGCTGGCATATAACTTGAATCCTCACTGGCCACAAGCAGAGTCAGCTGCCTGAGAGAGGAGAGAGGAGTCAGTCAAAGCTAGGACCTTAGCCTTAGTTCAAAACTACTTTGTCCCACTACTTCCTTTTCTGGTCCCTGACACACCTGTCTTCAGCTTTTCCCTTTATATTTCTTCCAAGTGGTTTCATTTAAACTCATAGTTTCAATGACAAATTAATGCCAAGCTGTGTATGTGACAGATATTCCCATGTCATGTCCAGGAGGCACCTCAAAGTCAGGGAACAATATGTCCACACACGCCTTCTTATTGCCACCTACTTGGAAATGGCTTTCCTCCAATCAATAGCAAGTCCAGTAGATCCAACCTTTGCTCACAGTCTACCTCTGCCCCTTCAGTCCCTCTTCCTAGCTGGATACATCAAACACTTCTTAAAGTGATCACCACATAACCCTTCTACCACCCTTTTTCCTAGCCTTCAACCTAAAGTTTCATGATTACCTAAGTAGCTTCCCCCAAAAATCTAGTTTTGGGGCTGGAGAGAGAGCACAGATATTAAGAGCATTGGCTATTCTTGCAGAGGGCCTGGGTTCAAGTCCCAGCACCCATATGGTAGCTAACAACCATCCATGACTCCAGTTCCAAGGGATTTGACATCCTCTTCTGGTCTCCATGGGAATTGTGTGTGCACTTAACATACATGCAGGCAAAATATTCATACACATAAATCTATTTTTGTCTCTTCTCTTTAAATCCTTCAATGCACCCCTGCCGAGTTTCATAATAGAGTTCAAATTTCCTAGCTCACAAAACTGACCTGCATCTCCTACTTTTCAGGCTTCATCTCCTGTTACTCTGATATACAAGCTCTTCATTCCAGACAAATATATTTAAAACTTCCCCCAGCACAGCATCGTTTCTTCCACTTTGTGCACTGCCTCTCTGCCTCTTATATCGAGTTCTTCTACTTAGCTAATTTCAACTTCAAACTTTGGCTCAGTCAACCCTTTTGGAAGCCTTCTCTGACACAATAGCCCCAGGATCCCTTCTCCTGGCCCTCCAATCTCTCAACAAGATCTCCCTCTATATGTTGACCTGCTTGGCTTTGACTGGGGTTCAGATCTTCCTACCTCCATCTCCCAAGTAGCTGGAATGATAGGCACTGCATTGCCTGGACCACACCACTTTCTTTTTATGCTGTTTTATTTCTCTGCCCCCACCCCTTTCTTTCGATATAAAGTCTCAATATGTAGCCCAAGCTGGCCTTGAACTCCTAATCCTCCTGCTTCAGCCTCCAGAGGGATGGGATTATAGACATGTACCATCATGCTTGGCATTTGTAACTGGTTTTCTAGTCTGGCTCCTCAACTAGACTGCACATTCTCTGGGTGCAGAAACCATATCTTTTTGTCCTTGTACCTCCAGACCCTAATTATACAGTGTTCAGCATTCTTGGCATTGAACAAATACCCATGGGAAGAGTAGATAAGTGAGTCATTGATCTCTAAGCACATCTGATATCTGTACCTCTTAGGGTACCAATTGCCAAGCTCAGAGAGTGAGGGGATGTCTAGATAGCACAGCAAGGGTAGGCCAATGTATAAATGGTATTTTCACTGTACAAAGTGAGTTGGAATATGTCCATCAGGGATAGGGTTACCAATGGAGGTGTGGGCCAGTGACTTGGGGAGGTATATTGGTGCATATCAGAATATTTGTATTCACATAATGCAGGAGTGGCTTCACACCTAATAAGAACGCCTCGGTGCATGTGCAAGGTGATATAGTGGGACCCAGTGCTGCCGTTGGACTCCCAGTAGGTCTTGGGGTTGCGGTCCATCAGCTTGCTGGCCCGATGTGGGTTAGAGGACACTTCTACCTTCTCCCAGCACTTGTGCTCCTTCATTTCCACACTGGAGCCTGGGGGAAAGTGGGAAGGGGTGGAGGTCACAGCATGGTAAGAAATAAGGAGGAGGACTGTAGAAGGGGAAGACAGATGCTGGGTAGGAGCCAGGAGGAAGCAGGATGGCACTAACCCTGGCAGAGATGCCTGAGGAACACATCAAAGAAGGGGATATTGATAGGTTGGTAGGTTCGTCTGTGGTCTTCAATCTGGCCCAGTACCATCTGCAGTCAGAATATGAGAGGGGTGGGCAGGAAGAGAAAGACAAATGCTCAGAAACTCAGAGAAAGGGGGTCAAGAGGCAACAGAACACTCAACCCCTTTCTTGCCAAATTCTGACAGGGCTATGTGAGGTAAAGGTTAGGAAACAAGTGGCCCAGATTTGCTGCCACTTCTGCCAAACAGGGATCCCAGAGAGGGACACGTGGAGTCCCCTTCCCTTGCTTCTGGCTTTTATTTTCACAGCTCTACACCCACAAATCGCCCCTCACCTGAATGCAGCCAGCCAGGATGCTTGAGGTGAGCTTACTATAGAGTTGGGCATATTTCTCACACTCTGTCACCATGTCCCGAAGCTCGGAGGCCAGCAGGAGCTGAGCTGAGTGCTTGTCCATGACTTTGGAGAGGGTCTCTTTAGCTCCCAGGCAGCAGAGCACTACCGCATAGTCTTTATGCATCAAAGCCAGGCGATGCAGGAAGCAGGTCAGCTTCTGAATAATCTGAGCCCACAGCCACACGGATAAGTTTATGGGAAAGAAAGGACAGGGCATGTCAGGGCAAGGGCTGGGGAAGGAAGCGTAGTGGCTGAGAAAGCCCAGGGAAGAGTATCAAGGACAGAGTGGAACAGAATGCGGAGATGCTAGGACTCCAGATGACCTGATAATGGCAGAGTTCAGGAAGTTTCCCAGGCTTCTTCCTGCCAGTGGCAAGCTATCCCAAGAGTCTATCTTTGCCTAGGTCTGTCTGGATTGGTGAGTGTGGACTTCTACTAAATCCAGAATCTAAAGTCCAGGTAAAACCTTGATTTGAAGAGTTCCAAGACTCCTGGGTGATTCAAGCCTTCCTCTACTCACTATTTAGATCCCAGTGCCCCCAGACCTGTTACAGATCTGTTGTACCCCTAGAACCTCACTAGGCAGGTGGTGCCCCCAACTTCTGCCTTATCTCCCCAGCCCCTGCCAGGGCTCCGGTACCTCAGAGTCACTACTGGGGCTGCTCAGGCAGTTGACGCAGGGCTCCAAGACCTCATGCCAAGGGAGGACCACTGCCTCAGGGTAATCCAGCAGTCGGGTCATGACCCTGGTAAGGAGATGAAAATAGGTGAAGTCTCTGCAGCCTCTCACTCCCAGAGCTTGGGTGCCTGGACAGACCCTTTACCTGAGTACTGTGAGCAGCAGAGTTCGGTTGGGCCCAGGGGCATCCAGAGTCCGCAGCAACAAGAGAAAGGGCTGGCTCTCCTGCTGCAGGCGCTTGAGGAGGGGCCTCATGGCACACCGTGGGCTGCCCTCCCGGCACAGCACATGCTCCAAGTCCAGGAAGAGTTCTGCTAATGGGTCCCCCACCAGGGATCGAATCAGTAACTCAGGGGACCCATCCTGACCTTGGGTGCTTGGGGTCTCCAGTGCTGCAGGCCAGACACACCAGAGAAAAAAGTGTGCATGAAAAGGAGGTCTCGTAAGTCAGTCAAACCAAGAAACAGGATGGTCCAGAGAGTTACCCCAAGCCTTTTCCCCATATTGAGAATGTTTACTATAGTTTACCAAATTATGAGAGATTTTCTTGTCTGCTCCCAATACAGACCTAACTACAATTGGAAAAAAATCTAGTACAGGCCAGGTATGGTGGCACACACCTTTCATCCCAGCACTTTGAAGGCAGAGGCAGGTAGATCTCTGTGAGATCGAGGCCAGTCTGGTCTATATCATGAGTTCTAGGTCAGCTGAAGGCTACAGGGAGACCCTGTCTCAAAAATACAAAAAAATAATCTAGCACAATGAACATTGCTGAGTCAAATATACACATTTTAAATCTCATAGTCAGTTACCTTGTACTAGTAAATGTTATCATAAACAGTAGCTGTTACAAGACATCTCCAAACTGCCCAGTGTGGCAGCTTTAGGTGCACAGACTAAAAGATACACTACTTATTTCAGTATCTGTTCATACTTCTGGGTTTTCTTAGGCTTTTTATGTATTCTTTTCATTGTATGTATATGAGTGTTTTGCTTACGTGTATGTATGTACACCCATGTCATGCAATGCCTGAGGTCACAAGAGGGTGTCAGAAGCCTAGAACTGGAGTTAGGAGAGGTTGTTAGACACCATGTGGATGCTAAGAACTGAATCCAGGACCTCTGCAAGAGCAGCCAGTGCTCTTAACTTCTGAGCCAGCTCTCCAGCCTCTCACCTGTTTTGCAAAATGCAAAGGATTTCATGTGATAACAAGAGTTCACATTCCCAGTCATAAACTTTCTGTTCTCTCCTTTTCTGTTTCTTTCTTTTGTAATGTTATGCAGGAGCCTGAACCCTCTTAGAAGAAGAAGGGCTTCTAAGTATGAGGTTAAGTGCTCAACCACTTTAGTATACAACCTAGTCACAAATTTTCTGTACCATAAATTGCAATTCTGCTACAGAAAGCCTCCCTATATTTCAACTTTTCTACTTCCTAACAGGTCTGGATCAAACCTAACGAAGACTGATGGGATTCCACAAAGGTGTAAGGCACAGCGAAGTAATTTCCTTGCACATATTCTACAGTATTCTCCTTCTGATCAGGAAGCTCTGCTTGAGCTCTAACTTGAGGCATGAAGGTACACACTGGTATTCCTAGCACTTGAAAGACAGTGGCAAAAGGATCTTGAGCTCGAGGTCAGTTTGGGCTACACAGCCCCATACACACCACACCCCCCAACATCTCCAGCTTGAATACCAACAGTTTCATTCATTTCCTAGAGATCCCAGCATCCTTCAGTGAGTGGCTGCAATGTATACCCTGCCCTTCCTGGCCACAGCCTGCTACTGTATTGCTCCTCAGCAGAACCTCCCATCACACATACACACTGGTACCTGCTAGCTCAGGACTGCTCTGCGGCTCTGAGTAGCGATTGAGAAGCATCATGAGGATAGTGCGTGTGGTAGGCATGGGTTCTGTCCCCGGTGCTATCCCCGAGTGCCTAAACAAGGTGTCTCTCAACTCTTGGGTTATAATCTGGTCTCCCAGAGTATGGTGGTTACACAAAAGCAGGTTGAGTAGAAGCAGGCCATTTCTCACTGCAGAGGAGCACCTGGGAGGAAGAGGGTGACCCAAGAAGTTGACAGTGAATACCTCAGAGGCAGGGGGAAAAAGTATAGTGTGCCCTGCAGCTGGGCTGGGGAGGGAGATACTACAGGGGTCCCTCTGAGGCAGGACTCTTGACCACCTGATATTGGACCACTACTCCCAATCCCATGAAAGAGTCACATTTCTCTGCCTTCTCTGGAAAACCCCTACCCAAACAACATGGCTTCTCTTCCAGTGACACTCAGAGAGTATTTCCCCAAAGGTGACCGTGTGGGCATAGTTTCTGTGATGCATATGAGCCTGGGGAGAGGAATAGTGGTTTTAGGACATAAGAAGGATCTGGACTGTGGAAGGTAATGCTCTGACCCCTCGGTATTCAGCATCAGGATCACAGCTGCAGGGACGCTGAGGAGCAAGCTCTCAGAGCCTGGGCGTGTTGCTGAGTCAATGCTGGCGAAGATCTCTCTGGTCATTTGGGTATCAAACAAAAGTTGGACAGAATACTGGCCAGTGACAAAAGTGGGGATCTCCTCTTGACCAGTGACAAAAGTGGGGATCTCCGAGGAGCTGGCAATGGCTAGCATCTTCAGCGCCTGCAAGGAGAACATAAAAACCAAGTCAGGGGTGCACAGAGCCACCACAAGAAGTAAGGGAATACAGTACAGTGATAGAGTACCTGACCAGCATGTGCAAGGCCCTGGGTTCAATCCCCAGTACCACCCTCAAAGGAAGTGGGAAGCCAGAGTCATCATTCTAGACCTCAAACTCTGGAGCAGCTAAACTGTTGGCAAAATAAGTAGTGTGACAGATGACAACAGGGTATCAAATTGGGGGAGCAAAGGGGAGGCAAGGGAACAGGAGGGGGAAGGGACAGGAAGAGGGGGGAAGGCAGAGGAGGGGAAAGAAGGGGAAGGGAGAGAGGGGAGGAAGGGGAAGGAGGGGAGGGGAGGGGAGGGGGAAGGAGATGAAGCAAACCAAACAGTCTAAGAATGAACAACAAATCCAGAGGCCATTTCTCTCTGCACCTAGACTCCCAACACCAAGGCTACCTGGGTGGGTGGGCTGCCCCCTTTGAAACCTCCCCATGGGATGCAGCCCATTCACAACCCAGCTGTCTTCAGAGGCTTTCCTTAAAGTCACCTCCCATCTCAGCTGACCACTCCTTCCTTTGTGAAGAACTCCCTTTCCAGAGCTCCATGTCTGTAGAGCCTCTGGTTTTCCTCTTTCCTCTTTTTATTTCTTTGCCTGGTCCTCAAAAACAAGTTCTTTGTCCCTTCTTTTCTTTTCTCTCTTCCTAGGTAAACTCGTCCACTGTCAAGGCTCCAATGACTGCCTCTGTGTCAACACTTCCACACTTAATGTCCCCTGGCCTTATCCAATGTCTGTCTAACCCTCTGTACAAGGCTTCAACTGTCTCACAAGCACAGTAGTTGGGATGACAGGAACAGTACTTGTAACATGAAGACTCATTTACTGATACTACAGAGATAAAGGGAATTAAAACTAAGCACTATACATTAGAGTGAAGAATGCCTCTGCTGGTAGAGGGCTGTAACTCTGGAAGAAACACCCTGGGAATGGACTGGTATCCATGTTGCTATATTCTCAGAACTGCTCTAGCTGAGGCCTGTTTGTTCCCTTCAGGGACACTGGCTGTATAGTGCCTCATGCCCATAGCACACAACCAGCCAGCATTTCCTTCCTGATCAGTTAGGAAGCTAATCTTCTGGAAGCTCCCCTAGACGAGGGCCTTCCTTCCTTATCCCTTAGGCTGACAGTAATGCTGCCTTTTCCCTACCCAAATCCAGTGAGGAAGTATTTTCTGGGAATCACTCAAATAAAAAGGGGCAAATGTACTGTCAGATCCAGAACGTTAGTCTTTAGCTGTACATCTAACCGTAAGTGTAGGACAGGAACTGGAGAGAGAGTTTAGCAGTTAAGAGCACTGGCTGCTCTTGCAGAGGACCTGGGTTTGGTTCCCAGCACCCACATGGCAACTAACAACTGTCTGTACCTCCAGTTCCAGGGGATCTAACGCTCTCTTCTGACCTCCACAGGTATTTTGTACAGTAAAAACACTCATACACATAAAATAAAAATAATGTTAAAGCTATGGGGATGAATCACACATCTCCACTTTTAAAAAGAATAACAAAGTAAAAAGTAAAAGGGGTAGGACTGTCAACACCTCCAAAAATCCAAACTCCTGACTGGCTCCTCACGGCACCTCTTCTTGTAATACTCTCAGTAAATAGCCATCTCATGCATCTGCTGCTCAACTTAAATCTATCACTATTAAAAACTCCCTTCTGCTCTTCTTCAATCATGCACTCAAGCTCCAAGACCATCTAGATCACACTTGGAAATCCACCTGTGTCTTTCCACTTCAACAGCTACAACCTAGTCCAAATTACTAAAGTAGCTCTTTGAGGTCAGCAGTCACCCCAACTGCCTAGCCCATCACTCCATCCTGCCCAGCGCACTCACCGCCAGCCCTGCCTGCTGCACCAAAACAGATGTCTTATACTCTTGCATGCAGATCAGCACAGCGTAGATGCCACCCTCCCTGGCAAAGAGTGGACGCCACTCATGCTTGGTCATGAGCAGGTAAAGAAGGCGCAGGGCCAGCACCACCACCATCTTCTCTTCCACCTGGTTGGTCAGCAACTCCACCAGTGTTTTCACTAGCTTCTCCCTGAGAAGAGAAAAGAAGCTAGTGTTCTCCATCCCCAGGAGTAACTTTCCAGTCTCCATACCACATGACTCCCTGCCATGCCCTCCTTCACAGTTCAATCTACTCCCCTCCTGTAACCTGTTCTTGTTTTAGTCCCACTTCTTACCCCTCCCCTCTACAGCTGAATTGCTGCTGGTTCCTCTTTCCAAATGAATCTATAGAGTTCATATAATTCTAAACAAATGCCTTAAAAACCAAAAAAAAAAAAAAGGCAGTTTCACAAAAAGGTAAATATGCAAGGAATGTTTTAAAAAAATAATGGCAGCTCTGCCTACAGTTACCCAGATATAACTATGCGCATAAAATAAGTAAAACTCTGGAAATGACACAGGGTAGCCAACAAAATCAGAGGATGACAAGAGAGATGAGGGTAGCATCTCAGCTAGTGAACAAGGATGGGTTGCTTAAAAACTGACACTGGGGGACTAGAGAGATTGCTCAGTGGTTAAGAGCACTAAACCCCAGCACCCACATGGTGGCTAGCAACTGTCCATAACTCCAGTTCTAGGGGATCCAATGCCCTCTTCTGTCCTCTGTGGGCATTGCATGACATGGGTACCCTTACACACATGCAGGCAATACACACATACACACAAATCAAAACAAAACAAAACAAAAACAAAAACAAACAAACCCTGACATTAGAGCTGGTTATGGTGGTTCATGCCTGTACTTTCAGCACTTAGGAGGCTGAGGTAAGAGAATTGCCAAGAATTCAAAGCCAGTGTGGGCTACATCATGAGTTATAAGAAAACTTGGGCTACAGTATGAGACTGTCTCCAAAATTTAAAAAGTAAAAACAAACAAATTAAAAAAAAAACAAACCCAAACCTCCAAACAAGTAAATAACAGCAACAAAAAAACTCTGATTCTTGGGCTGGAGGTTTGTTTGGTACATGTAGGGCCCTGGGTATCCATCCCCAGCACCAAAGAAAACCAAACAAATGTGTTGTTGAGATTCCTGGCTGTCCACTTGAAGAAAGTAAAGGTTAGGCTCTGCTTCGTGTCATTTGCAAAAAGAAATTGCAAGTAGATTTTGAAATGAATGTAAAAAAAAAAAAACAACCAGGTATTTTTAGAAAATATAAGAAGTATTTTTCTATGTGCTGGGATATGACTCAGTAAAGTGCTTGCTGTGCAAACATGAAGACCTGAGTCTGAATCCCCAGAAACTATCTTTTTGGTTTTTTGGCCTTTTTGAGACAGGGTCTCCCTGTAGCCCCAGCTGTCCTGGAACTCACTATGTAGACCAGGCTGGCCTTGAACTCACAGAGATCTACCTGCCTCTGCCTCCCAAGTGCTGGGATTAAAGGCATGCGCCACCACACCTGGCCCGAAACTATCTTTTTTAAAGAAAGCTAGGCACTGAAGAACAGACAGGAGGATCCCTGGGGCTGCTGGCTGTTTAGTCAGCCTAGCTGAATGCATGAGCCCTGGGTTCGAGAGACCCTGTCTCAAAACATAAGATGGAAAGAAATTGAGGAAGACACCTGGCATTGACCTCTGGCCTCCATGTACACCCCTATACACATGTGCACACATGAACACACACACACACACACACACACACACACACCTAGTATATACATTTCTAATTCTAGAATAGGATCAACACCCTTAATAGGATACAAAATTCTGGACTCTATAAAAAAGTTGAAAAATGGGGCTGGAGAGACAGCTCAGTGATTAAAAGCACTGGCTGCTCTTGCAGAGGACCTGGGTTTGAATCCCAACACCCACATGGCAGCTATCAACTGTCTGTAACTCCAGTTCCTCTTCTGACCTCCAATGACACTGCATGACATTAGTGCACTTACATACATGCAGACAATACACACAAACACATAAAATATAATAAATATTTTAGAGAAAGTTGAAAAATGGGGCTGGAGGGATGGCTCAGTGGTTAAGAGCACTGGCTGCTCTTGCAGAGGATCTTGGTTCAGTTCCCAGTACCCACATAGTGGCTAACAACCATTTGTAACTCTAGTTCCAGGGGATCCGACATCCTCTTCTGGTCTCTGTGAGCACTGCACAACATGGGTGCACTTATTACATACATGCAGGCAAAATACACATAAAATAAATAAATATAGCCAGGCGTGGTAGCCCACGCCTTTGGTCCCAGCACTCAGGAGGCAGAGGGAGGTGGATCTCTGTGAGTTCGAGGCCAGCCTGGAAGTTCCAGGCCAGTTGGGGCTACAGGAGAACCTATCTCAAAAAGACCAAATAAATAAATAAAAAGTTTTAAAAGTTGAAAAATAAAGCAACATAAAAATCTCAAACTTTAGCACATTGAAATCACTACAAAAAAAAAAATTCAAGAGGCAAATGATATGAACTGGAAAGAAGACCCAGCAGAGATGCTCATGTAGCCAGGTGTGGGGGCTCCTGTTTGGAGTTCCAGCACTCTGTAACCCCAACACTGGAAGCCTGAGGCAGGAGGATCACAAGTTCAAGATCAGCCTGGGCTACAGAGTGAGTGAGACTGTCTTAAAATATGACCATCTCCAGGGGTTGGAGAGATGGTTCAGTGGTTAAAAGCACTGGTTGCTCTTGCAAAGGACCTGACGACCTGGGTTCAAATCCCAGCACCCACGTGGCAGCTAGCAGCTGTCCATAATTCCAATTCTAGGGGATCTGATGCCCTCTTCTGTCCTCCTTGGGCACTGCATGACATGGGTATACTTACATACATGCAGGCATAATACACATAAAAATTAATTAATTAATTTAATTAATCTAATTTTAAATATATGTATAGATATAAGCCCCCCTCAAAAAACAAAACAAAGCACTGATATGAGTGAGAGCCCTGAGGGCGTTGGGAGCCCAAGAGCAGGTGCTAACATCTTTTTACACAGTGACAGACGCAAATGAGTGGCCTGGGAGCTACTAGAAGAAAGAATCCAGGAAGCTGGAAAGAACGCAAGGAGGAGTTCTGATTTGTAGATCTTCAGAAGCCTTATGATGAGCACATGTGAATGAAACAGACTCAACGCAGAGCTGCTTCCGCAGTCAGGATTTACTATTTATTTCTTTCAGGATCTTATCAGGCTGTCCTCAAACACTCCCTCCTCCTGTCTCTACCTCCCAAGTGCTGGGAATTCAGGCATGCATCACCACACCCAGCTATAAGGCAACTTTAATATGAACTACATACAGCATGGACAGTACATATAAATAGATATGGAAACAGAAGTGAGAATGTGTTCCAAAGTGTTAAGAGTGATTATCTCTGTATGATGACTTTTAGATAGTTGTTATCTTGCCAATTTTCTAACTTCTTTACTTCTTTATAATCTCAAAAAAAGAAAACCTAACGTGGTTTTTAAAAAACCCAAAATGTTTGGGCCACAAACAGTAAAATGCTTATAAATCCATAAGAAAAGGGGAACAGCTCAATTAAAGAGTGGGCAAAAGATAAGGGCACTTATGAAAGCAGAAACAAAGGTGCATGCAAATATGCCACATTTCATCTGAACTAAATTAAAGCACCAATCATTTACAATTTTGCTAATCTGGGGCTGGTGAGATGGCTCATTGGGTAAATGAACCTGCTACCCAACTTAATGACCTGAGTTGATCCTCAGACCCCACATGGTGGAAGAGAGAACAGGCTTGTACAAACTGTTCTCTGACTTCTACATATGCACCATGGCATGTGCACACCCATACACACCCATACACACACACACACACACACACACACACACACAAATGTTAAAATTTTGCCAATCTGATTTTTTTTAAAAACACAATAGGCCGGGCGTGGTGGCGCATGCCTTTAATCCCAGCACTCAGGAGACAGAGGCAGGCATATCTCTGTGAGTTCAAGGCCAGCCTGGTCTACATAGTAAGTTCCAAGACAGCTGGGGCTACAGGGAGACCCTGTCTCAAAAAAAAAAAAAAAAAACAGAAATAAAAACCCAGACACAATAGCATCCATTGTTGGCACAGGTAAGGGAAAAAACAAGACATTGGAACACTGGACCTGAACTTGGCTGTAACTGTATCACAGCTCTACACATCAATGAAAATAATGAGCAGCTAGCTCTATGATGACTGACATGGAAAAGTCCTCTAACAGACACAGAAATGCCATAGGAACATCAGAGTGTGCACATATATGCTAAGACACAGACTCAGAAGATGTTATCATACAGCACAGACCCTGTCTCAAAAAAGACAAAAAAAAATCTACATTTCAAACAAGTTTTATTCTTTTAGGTATCAGGTAAAAAAATAATTTAAGCTTTTAAAATACTATGAGAGAGCTGGAGAGATGGCTCAGTGGTTAAGAGCACTGGCTGCTCTTGCAGAAGACCTGGATTCAGTTCCCAGCACCCACATAGTGGCCAACAACTGTAACTGTAACTCCAGTTTCAAGAGATCCTGATACCCTTTTCTGGCCTTTGATGTCATTCCACACCCATGGTACACTCACATACCTGCAGACAAAACATTTATACACAGAAAATAAAAATAAAAAAGTAAACCTTAAAAAATTTTTCAGCCAGGCGTGGTGGCGCACACCTGTAGTCCCAGAACTTGGGAGGCAGATGCAGGCGGATCTCCGTGAGTTCAAGGCCAGCCTGGTCTACATAGTGAGTTCCAGGACAGCTGGGGCTACAGGGAGACCCTGCTTCAAAAAGACCAAAAAAAAAAAAAAAAAAAATTCAAGGGAGAGAACTTGAAAAAGAAAAAGAGAGGGGGCTGGAGAGATGGCTCAGCAGTTAAGAGCACTGACTGCTCTTGCAGAGGACCTGGGTTCAATTCCCAGCACCCACATGGCAGCTACGAACCATTCTTAACTCCAGTTCCAGGGGAATCCGAAACCCTCTTCTGACCTCCGCGGCATTGCATGACACAGGTGCACTCACATACATGCAGGCGATACACTCATAAAATAATAAATAGAATATTTAAAAAAAGAAAGAAAAAGAGAGTAGGGACAGTAAAAAGAAGAGAGAGAAAAAAGTTTTGAGACAAGGTCTTGCTATGTAGCCCAGGTTGATTTCAAACTCATGATCCTCCTGCCTCAGCCTCCCAGTCTCTAGGATTATAGGCATATGCCACCAGACTTGGCTTGAGAAAAAAATTTAAAGAAAAAACTCAAGTACGGCCAGGCGTGGTAGCATACACCTTTGATCCCAGCAAAGATCAGGGAAGCAAAGACAGGTGGATCTCTGTTGAGTTAGACAGGTGGATCTCTATGAGTTTGAGGCCAGCTGGGGCTGCAGGGACACCCTGTCTCAAAAAAACCGAAAAAAAAAAAAATCTTAAGTACTAGAGCCAAAAGGGCCTAGGTTCTGATCCTGGCTTTGCTCTATGTAGGATTCTGAGCAAGTGATTTAAAGTCTCAGTTTTCTCATGTAAACTATATTACTGCTATCAATAATAATATCAATAATAATAATATCTTCAGTGCTTCTGTGGGTTAAGGCAGATTTAATGAGAGAATGCATGAAAAAGCCTCACAAGTGCTCTAAAATGCTGTAACCACCTACCTCCTGCTCCACTCTCCCCAGGCCCACCCTTCCTTCACCCCAGCCTTCTAATTCAATTTCATTACTCCTTCCCTACTACCACCATCCTTAACACCCACAGCTACAACCCAAACCTCCTCCCAGTGCAATGTGCTAACCTCAGAGATCTGTCAGGACGGACCAGAGGGTGGTCCTGCTCAGTAACCTCCTCCACAGCCTCAGAGAGGGCCCAGAGCCCTGAAAGCTGCAGGTTTGTATCCAAGCTGGATATCTGCACAGTGGCCATGACCGCTGCCACATGTTGATCCAGGGAGCTGCGTGGACCAGGACCCCGCAAGGCTCTAGCCATTTCTGTAATTAGTGGAGGAAAGGCAGTAGCTAAAGGAATTGTAGTACCTCCAAGCTGGAAGTCTTTAAAAGTCAAGTCTAGTTAGCCCACCATTATTCATCACTGTAAACAGCATTTCTAAGTTTTCCAAGTGTATGTGAAGGATCTAATCACAAAGTCAAGATGGCAAGAGCCTGAAAAATGGACCCCAATTTTCCAAAGCTACTGAAGAAAAGGAATGGCTGTTGATGATACAATCAAGGTCAAAGGGAAGAAGACATATGCTTGGTTTCAAGGCATTCTGCCGTACAAATGAGCCCTTCCCCCGTGGCTTTACCCCCACTTTATCGACTTACTTTACTGGGCCAGCTCATGATTTGAGCCAATGTCTTTGCCATCCCCTCCTGGAACCCAACTCACCAGTAGCAGCCTCCTGGATTTCGGGGGACAGGGCCATCCCCTCAGTCACCAGAAGCTGGTTAAAGAGCTGAGAATCACTCTGTGCTCTGGGGGGCTCAGTCTGTGCATTGGCAAGCTCTGTCTCTGCCTTAGGGGGCTCAGACTTTGCTCTGGAGGACTCAGTCTCTTCTTCTGAGAAGCTGGCTGCTGACTTGGACTCCTTTTCTGGATCTGGGGTACAGGAGTGACTTCGTGAAGTGGGCAAACTGCTTAGTTCATCAGGTAGCAGCCCATACGTGGCATAGATTTGGGAGTTGAGCAGGTCACAGAGGGTGTTACCCTCAAACCGATTACTGAGAACCTGCAGCATACCTTTGGCCATCTCTATGGGCACAGAGATCTCACCTAGGGCCTTTTCACCCAGGGCCTGTCAACACAAAGGGTATTCATTTCAGGGACAAACAGGCAGCAAGATCCTCAAACAGTAAGGGGAGGATGCCACCCCTACCATGTCCTGATACCTTCTACACACCAAACCCTCACAGTATGCCCCCCCGCCCCCAGGAGGACTCCCATACCCTTTAACCACTAGCTCCAGTCTCCCAAGAGGTCTTCCACAACTAGAACTTCTAGAGTGCCCATCTCTACCCCACCACAGCCCCCTACCCAGGTATCTCAGGCCTCTAGTACCTTATCCAGTTTCTCTTGAAGATTCTGGAAAATTGGTTGCTGTTCAGATAAGTCCAACTTCTTGATAAAGAAAAGTAGCTCCCACCACTCTGCCTGGGTCAGGTATCCCGCTTCCTCATTCTTCTGGTGCTCAGGCTGGAGATATGGCAAAGAGTAGAGGCCATACGCAGGCTTCCAGTCCCAGGAGGGAAGTGCTGGGGAAGCAAGGCAGCCAATTTCTGAATCTCTGAATCGGAAGTGATTTAGTGCTAGACCACATTCCTCTGTCTCAAAACATGCTATGTCCTCTCTTAAGCTCACCTGTGCCCAATACAGTAGCCCCTGTCCCCTTTTCCACAGCTGCTGAAGCCGAATTCCCAGTAGTTTCCCCAGGACCCAGGATCTCCAGCATGTGCCAGTGCACCCAGTAGGTGCGACCTGTTGACTGCCAGAAGACCTGGGAAGAGGGAAGAGTGACAGCTCAGCCCTCTGAGCTCTGGGAGGAGGGAAGAGTGACAGCTCAGCCCTCTGAGCTCTGGGCCTGAGCTTAGACCCAGGGCACATCCTTAGATACACAACTGGCTAGACTTAGAGAAACCTCCATATAGCTAAAGGCCTCTTGCCACTATCAGGAAAGGGCCCTGTCTTTCTTGCCAACCTTCACGGTCTGGTCTCTGCTCCCACTCTCCTTCTTAGCATCCTCTACTGGTGGTAGTGGTGGAAGTACCTCAGTATCTTATTTCTGCTTCCTGGGTATGAGACTGACTTCATAGCTCACCCGCTCCACCCAAGTTTCTCAGGCCTCTAAATAGAACCTCTCATGTACCAATTCTTTTTTACCACTCCAATACCCCTGAGGGTTTGTCTACCTCTCCTCCCTCCCTTGTTGTTGATACAGGGTCTCATATAACTGAGGCTGCCCTCAAACTCTCTTGATACAGGGTCTCATATAACTGAGGCTGCCCTCAAACTCTCTTCGTAGCCAAGGATGACTTTGAACTGCTAGCCTCCTGCCTCTACCTCCTGAGTGCTGAGATTACAGGCATGAACCACCATGCCCAGTTTTATGTGATGCTGAGACTCAAATCCAGGACCTCATGCATATACTCTGAAAGCAGTCTACCAACAGAGCTACATCCTCAGCCTATCCCTAGGGGTTTTTCCTCCTTGGGTGGCATAGCAGAACTTCCTCTGGGAAGCCACAGCTGTGTGCCACCCAGAATAAATTCTTCACTGGTCCCAACCACCGTGACCCTCACCTGCACGGGAGGTACACCATTGTTGCTCTGCTGGAACTCGCCCTCATCCCCAGCACTGATCTCCTCATAGTCATCCAGGATCCGCACTCGCATCCCTGGCCGCACCGTCTGCTGAACATACTCACCGTAGCCACTACGGCTAGAAAATTCAGAGCGATGGCGGAAGGCCCGCCCTTGCTTTCTGGGAACAGTGACAACAGTGGGCAGTAATAGTGGAGGCCCTGAAATGCAGGGCTGAAAGATAGACCGGGATGGCCGTGGCGGCGACATGCTCTGTTCACCGAGGTTTCGGGCCCAGCCCATGTCCCGCACCAGCTCTGAAATAAGGTTGCCCACTGCCATACTGAACTCTAGCTCCCGCTGTCCCCGGTTTTTCTCCTTTGTGGGACATGGGGAGCTTTGGTCTCCAGCTCCTGTCTCTGGACTGTTATTCAACTGATCCAGCAGGGAAGTGACACATAGGTAGTGCTTCACCAGGGAGAACAGCAGCTTTCCTGGGATCTGTAAGACACAATCCTTGGTATAATTCCATCTCCTCCTGGCTTTGGCCTCTCCCTTTCCCCTCAGTGTCTTCATCTGCAGACAGATGTGGAGTCCTCATTCCTAGGTCTGAACTTCTCAGACTGATTTGTCTAAGAAACACAAAGGAGGGGCTGGAGAGATGGCTCAGCAGTTAAGAACACTGATTGTTCTTGCAGAAGAAGACCCGAGTTCGAATCCTAGCACCCACATGGCAGCTAACAACTGTCTGTAACTCCAGTTCCAGATCTGACAGCCTCTTCTTGGGCATTGCACGACACAGGTGCACTTACCTACATGCAGGCAATACATGCATACACATAAAATAAAAATAAAAAATAATAAAATATTTTTAAAAAATGAAACACAAGGCCGGGCACGGTGGCACATGCCTTTAATTCCAGCACTCAGGAAGCAGAGGCAGGTGGATCTCTGTGAGTTCAAGGCCAGCCTGGTCTACATAGTGAGTTCCAGGACAGCTGGGGCTATAGGGAGACCCTGTCTCAAAAGGACCAAAAAAAAAAAAAAGTCTAAAAACAGAATCTTAGAAGTTTGTGTTTGGGTGCATATGTGCATACACGTTCACATGTATGGTGACATGTGTGTGTGCAGGTGCGTGTGCATGTGTGTGGAGGCCCAAGGTTAATGTCGGATGTTTTCCTTGGTCACTCTCCACCTTACGTACTGAGGCACAGTCTCTCACATACAGTCTCTCTCTGAATCTAGGGTTTGCAGTTTTGGCTAGTCTGGCTAGCCAGGTTGCCGCAGGGATCCCTGTCTCTGCCTCTGCATGCTGGGATTACAGGCTGGCCACAATACCCACCCAAATTTTACATGGGTTCTGGGGATCCGAACTCTGGTCCTCATGCTTCTACAGCAAGAGCTTTACCTATGGAACTTTACCATCTCCCTATTCTTAGGTTCTAATCTTAGAAATTCTGACTGGGAGAGGTTGAGAAGGGGGCATGAACCTTTGCTTTGATTAGCCCTCCAGGTTGCTGTGTGCTAACCCACAATCCTGAACCATAGTTTGAGACAGCACAGTATCCTGTAGAGCTGGCAGAGTACCTGAGGCATATGGATGCCCTCAAAGGCCATGCAGTGTTCTTCAGAGGATGTGGTCTCTGCAAACAACTCCAACAAAGTGTAGCGGCTGTCAAAATCCATGTGCTGCTCGATGCCATCTTGCTGGCTCAGTGACAGAAGGACGTGAGCCCGACTCCCTGTAAGCCACACCCAATCTGGATCTTCTCCTCAATCCCCAATATGCCTCCCTGCCTTTCCCAGGCATTCTTCTTTCTAGAAGCTTTTAAACTTCTTTGTGACTGAGACCCAAATCAAGAAATACACTTTACATGTAACCTGACACAAGCTATACACACATAATTGAAATATACTCCATGCTACAAAACTTGGAAAAGTGTTATCTATGTACTAATATCTTAATGTTCTTTTAAAGTTGGCTATAAATCCTTCCCAAACTGATTTCACAACCAACATTCCCAACTGTTCAAAAAAATGCAAATCTACTTTCTCCGCTGCAATACAGAGAATGGACAGATAGACCCTGTGCTTTTACCCTACTAATACACTTGCAATGACCTATTCATCTGTTTCCTTTATACTGAATTGCTACTTAATAAAGAAATCTCTCTTCTCTCTGTTCTTCCTCCCCGTGGCCACATTCTCTCCAATGCATTTCCTCTTTCCCTGGCTTTCTCTTACCAGCATCGTGGGCTGCCAGTGCCTGCAGCATCTTGCCTGCACTCTGACGGATCTGAGGCTCAGGATTGCACAGCATGTGCATAAGCAGGTCCAAGGCTCCTGTCTCCCTAAAGACTCTGGTGAGAGGACCGATGCTGGCATAGGCGTTGAGCACATGGACAGTATGAAGTACAGCAGCCGTAAGGCTTGAAGACCCGCCTTCTTCCAGCTGCCTGGCAGCCCTGCATACCAGTGCCCTCACATCAGCCTCCATCTCTGCCAAAGCCAATTCATCCAGGCCTCCTGGATCTCGGGGGAAGCTTCCTAACCCCCGAGCAGGTTCATACTGAGGTCCTTTAGATAGTGTCCACTCATGCAAAAGCATGGGGCAGTTGGCATAGACCTCTGAGGCTGACAGCCACATGAGGAGGTGCTCTGCCTTGTCTTCCTCTACGCTCACTTTGCCCTCTTCTCCACACTTGAGGATACTCCATCGAATCAGGTATTCAGGATGCCCATCATGTCCAGGCCGCTGTCGAATGAGTTCTTCAGGAGACGCCTGCAGCCGGGGCCCCAAGGGCACCACAAAGTCCCCTGCACGTCGTTCCCCTACCATCCTGACCTCCTGGGATATACAAGGAGAAAGACAGCAGTATGGTTAAAAAGACAACATAGCAGGTGATAGAATCTTACAACACAGATGAGGTGAGTGGTCTTGGGAGGCCACATGATGGAATTTAAAGCACACACAGAAAAGGCAAAGAACAGGACAGAATACATAACTAAATATTTATATTTTAATAAGATATATATCATATTGTATATATATATGAATGGAGTGAAAAGAGAGGATGAAATGAAAATGTTTCAGAAATGGAAGAAGAGCTAGGTGTGGTGTCACAGGCCTTTAAACCCAGAACTAAGGAGGCAGAGGGAGAGGCAGGCAGGTCTCTGTAAGTTGGATGCTAGCCTGGTCCACATAGCAAGATTCAGGCCAGCTAGGGTTACAGGGAGACCCTGTCTCAAAAAAGCAAACAAACAAACAAAACCCCCCATAAAACAATAACAATAAAAAACCCAAATAACAACCAAAAAAATTAACAAAACAAAACGAAACAAAACGAAAAAACAGAAATGGAAGAGGTCTGGGCTATAGCTCTAAAACAGAGTTCCTGCCTAGTATGTGAGAGGTCTTGGGTTTAATCTCTAGCACTGTAAAAAAAAAAAAAAAAAAAAAAAAAAGGAAAAAAAAAGGCTATAAATTTAAGCATAGTGTGATAGCACATGCCTACAATCATTAATTCTATAGCCAGGCTGGTCTACAGAGCAAGTTCCAGACCAGCCTCAACTAGTGAGACTCTGTTTTAAAAACAAACAGGGCTGGAGAGATGGCTCAGCAGTTAAGAGCACTGGCTGCTCTTGCAGAAGACCAGGTTCGCATCCCATCACCCACATGGCAGCTAACAACCATCTGTAACTCCAGTTCCAGAGGGATCTGATGCGCTCTTCTGACATTCATGGGCATTGCATGACATGGGTGTACTTACACACATGCAGTCAAGACACTCATACACAATAAAATTAAAAAAAGAAATAGCCAGGTGTGGTGGCACACGCCTTTAATCCCAGCATTTGGGAGGCAGATGAAGTCGGATCTCTTTGAGTTGGAGGCCAGCCTAGTCTACATAGTGAGTTCCAGGCCAGCTGGGGCTACAGGGAGACCCTATCTCTCTCTCTCTCTCTCTCTCTCTCTCTCTCACACACACACACACACACACACACACACACACACAAAGCATTAAGCATGGACATGCTCAGTAAACATCATGTATAATTATAGCATAATCTAATATTATTCTTAGATGGAGAAGGTAGGGTAGCCAGCATCATTTACATGTGCATTATCAATAAGATGAATGGGGAGCAAAATGGTCAGGAAAAGCTATGTGTATGAAGCAGTGGGTCAGGAAAAGCTATGTGTATGAAGCAGTGTAGGTGCAACAGGAGATGGAAAGGGCAAGAATCGAAGGTGTACCCAGACGAAGAAACCGTGATCAGGGTGGGCGTCATGTCAGGGTCCACAGACAAAAAAACAAGTAGCAGAAAGACCTGAAGAGGAGTGAAGGAGGATGTGAATCTCAAGGGGGGGACGTGGGGGGAGGCGGGGAGGTAACCAGTGATGCTGCCCGGAAGGCCAAGAGAAACTATCCGCTAAGGCCTAGGGGGCGGGGGCGGGGACGGCCTCAGAAGGGCCTAGACCGGGAGAGGTAAACTGAGACCTGCGGGTGACGTCTAGTGGTTGGGACCAGAAAGCAGCTAGACCACAGCCCCGTGGTAGGCACCCGAGCGGCGATGGGGGTCGGCAGCGCGGAGGGACGGTCGGGGGGTCGGGGCGGGGTGAGGGTGGCGGGCGCGGCGACGCGAGCTGACAGCAGCGGATCCGGCTTCTTTCTCCCGCGGGGAAGGGGCCGGGGAGGGCGGGGTGGGCACCGGGCGGGCGCCGAAGGCTCCTCTCACCTCCCACCTCCCTGCTCGGCCCTCGCAGGGACCCAGCAGCCGCTCCCGCAACTCGGTCCCGCCTCCTGGCAGCGCCTTTCCGGTTACACACCGGCGAGCCGAGCGCACGCACCGCGAGGCATCTACGGGTCCCACCGCGGCCCACTCCGAGCGTGGCAGAACTACACGCGCGCGTGGAGCATGCGTACTACCCGCGGTGGAGGCTGCACGCCGCCCGAGCCCGAGGTTTGGCCGGGATGGGGGTGGGCCCTCTGCTGCCGCGCCCTTCCCAGCCAGCCAGGTGTGAAGTCTCCTCTTTACTGGGTCTGCCTTCCTCTTCCTCACATCCTGACCCCCTTCATAGCATCCGCTCTGGATAAGTTAACCCACATTCCCACCGCCCTGACTGCCCTTTGACTTTTCAATAGATGGCTTATTCATGGGTTTCCCAACCCTCCCCACCGCCAGTATATTAGGTTAGTTCTGCCACTTTGCCTTTTCGGTAAAACCACTGAATCCCATGCTGCCCTGAGCACCTAGCATAACCATGCACAGGAAAGAAGTCCCATTCCCAAGTTTCTTAAGTCTTGTAGTAGAACTCAACAGCCCAAAGCACCCACCTCGTTTCATTTTCATCAAGCAGCCAGTGATGCTTTGGGGGGCAGGATTTGGGGGGGGGTTCTGTTTACTCTTCCCTCCCTAGGCTGAAAAGACCCCAAAGACACAGCCAAAGACCCCAGTCTGTGCACAAAAATGATACATTTATTGAAAGAGTAATTTTTTTTAATACAAAAGAAAGCTCTGTACATAGGACTGTGACCATGTCCACTATTCCTGGGTCGGCATCCCAGGGGAAGTAGAAACCATTGACACACAACATTCATGAACATACACTCACTCAGGCACAAGTGCACACACATACACACACGCACACACTCCAGAGCCACCAAGGAAGGGAAACACCAAGGGTCGCTGCACATAGATATGCCACCTCATCCCTGACACCCATGTTCTGACACGCATGTTCTCCCACAGCCACGATCACACAACACACATAAGCATTTTGCCTGAATCACACACTGGGTCTGTCTGTTGTGAGGAGGAATTTATCAACATCTCCTCCCAGGTGCAGGGGCAGTGGGGAGTGAGTGAGTGGTGAGGAGTGAGCAGAGAAAGGGGCTGGGCAGTTACAGACCTGAGTCCCAAGTGCCCCCACTCTGGCCCCTGACTGACCATGCCCCAGCCTTGAAAGCCACTCAAAAGCCCAGAAGAAAGCCCCATAAACGTGACTTTCATCTTGGCACCCCGAGCTGGGGCAAAACAGTAATGGGGATTAGAGGTTGGGGGGGTTCTCAAACAGGTCAACAGATCATCCATCCCCTTGATACCTAGGCTGTGCGTAAAATCCCCACCCCCACCCCTCACCTAATCACAGAAGCAGACTTGTTCCTACTGAAGGCAGCACCAAGGGGTTAATGAAACGCCACCCCAACTGCCTTTCTGTAAAAGCTTCCTTACAGGATATAGGTGGTGAAGGTCGGCTCTGACACAGGGTAAAAGACCCTCCCCTATGCTGACCCACCCTCAAGGTCTACCCCAAGGGGGCATTAAGGGGGTGGGGCATGGCCCCTGTACAAATTACATAAATACTGAGGTTACACTTAGAAAAATAAATTCATTTTCTTCAAGGCTTTTTGTCTTAATTTAAAAAAGTTACAGTAGCTGCTCACTCCCTGGGAGAGCTGCCCATTTCTGGCTCCCCATTGCTGCACTCAGCCAAAGAGCTGCTCCTACTTCCAACCCCGATTCCTGCGTCTCCCCACCTCCCAGACCCCACCCTGCTCACTGCAACTTGGGCCCCAGGCAGCTGCAGGCCTGGGGGAGCACAAGGCTGCAATGCCCATGCATGTGGCACAAATGAAATCAGTTGCCTCTACCTGACACCCTCCCACCCCACCCCATTTGGTCTCCCTCTTCCCTCTTCCTAGCAACAGCCCTAGAGGGCAAAAGAGACCCAGAGCTGTGGGTTATCCTCCCCACCACATTGGGGCATGGCCTGAGGGTCCCTTCCCCCGGCTTTCTCCTGGAAACAACCCAGGACCGGGCAATCCCAGAATCTCCCCCCCCACACTGGTGGACCCCGAGCTCATGGGGTGGCTCTGTCCCCAGGGGCCCAGCCAGTTCTGGGGAGCCCAAGGGCTCCCCAGGGAAGGGGAGTTTGGGCAGGGAGGGGAATGAGAAAAACGCCATTAAAAAAAATTAAA